CTATCTATCTATCTATCTATCTATCTATCTATCTATCTATCTATCTACCGACATATCTATATATATATATATCGATCTTTCTGTCTCTCTTTCTTTTGTGGAGACTATTGCTACATTCTGTATACCAAGAACCATCCAAGAGGTGACCCACCTAATGTCGCCGCAAGCACCGGTCTGACCGGCTTCGAAGGTCCATCACGGCCCGAAACGAGGCTGCAGTGGTTGCATTGCTGCGGCATGCCGAAAACGAATGAAGGATGTTCACCTTCTGCAACATGGGTGATTTCACTGAACTCACCGACATACTCCAAACCTCGTCCTACTTGTATCTGCTTGTCATACTTGAAAAGAAAACCTCCAAAGCTGTCCATGCGCCGCCGGCCGCGCCTTCCCCTTCAGGCTTCGACCGCTTCGGGCTGCGGGAACCCTGCGCTTTGGCCTCCTCGGAGTGGAAAGCTGAACAAGGTGAGGCTGGTGAGGACCCCGAGAAACAAGTGCATGAGTGGGGGTCTTCGCAGGGGACATCCCATGGACAGGGTGATCCAAAAATCCCAGGGTGACTCCTAGGATATTGGGAAAAACGATTGATTTGGCTCCAAGGGTGTTGGAATCGGGCTGGGATGTTCGATCGTGCGGCGGAACAACTCTCCTGCATGACGTTTTTTCAATCTCTTCCCCTGGGGTCAAAAACACCAAATCATGAGCTGAAAACCACCAAATCATCTGCTCAGCCACCAAATGTCACCCGCGAACCCGTTGAGCCACTTCGAACCCTGTCACTTCGCTCTCCTTGATCTCTTCTCTGGTCATTCCATACCTCGGGACAGCTGGCAGAGGTGGTCTCTGATTTGTGCAACGGTTTGGACGCTGTAGCCTCTCCCAACCAACATGAGGCAGTCTCCCGCACCAGCGTACCCGCCCCAGAAAACAAACAAGAAACTGAACAGCTCCTCATTGCGACTGCTCATTGCGACTGCTATCCCGAGCGGCCAGAAATGTTTCTTGCCCCTTTCTCGCGGCTGAGGTGCTTCCACCTGGTCGGTTGACGTGTGGCCAGGTGTGGCCAGGTGTTACCGAGCGTTGCACAGTTGGATCAGTCGCGAGATATCTTGGACTGTTCTGCAGACCAACGAACCGTGATCCTCTCCAACAGTTTGGCACTCAAGTCTCTCCAACAGCCTGGCACCCAAATCAAAACACTCAAACACGCTGATTGTGATGTCCACCTAGTTGGACCTGGTCAGACCTAGTCCAGGTCCGTCTCACTCGCCCAACTCCCTCCACTTCCATCCTGCATGACCCTCTGCGGTGAAGTGGGCGCTGACGACCGGCTTGAACCGCTCGAGCCGCCCGGGCTGCTCGCACCAAAGGAGGCGGCCACAGCCGGCGGCAGCTCCGCCCAGTCACCAAAGGGATCACCTTGGAGTGCGAAGGCCCAAGAACTAGTAACAAAGGGCATCGCTACCAGGAGCAAAGACGCTACGAACGTAGCTCCTAGGAACAGGGAAGCTACTAGTAACAAGAACACTACCCATCAAAGCACAAATCATCTCTGATATTACTTACTGCAATTTTGGTCGCATGGGCGAATCACAAAGGGCTCCATCCTTCGGCTGTGTTCGACAGAAACTCCACCGAGCACTTAAAAGAACACAAAAAGAAGTACAACACCCATGCTTAAGACTCAGATATGATTGAGGACAATCAAAACACATCAAAATAGAGTAATTCACCCTCACCTCCCACCCACCCACACTCACACGGACGGTCAACCACGTGGATGCCTGCCTTCTTCGCTTGGTGCCAGCGAAGGCTGTCCACCACCGAGCGCGAGCTCCGGCAAAGGCCATGAGACATTCTCCTGATCCAAAGAGCCCGCTTGGGGATCGAAGGCACAGTTTCGTGGGGCGCAGGAACCCGATGGAACCGGGAAATATGGGGAAATTCCCACCTACAAACATGTGGCTTAGGTGTTTGCCAAAGAGGATTAGGTACGTACCATTTGGGAAGCTGGCACCTGCAGTTGGAATCATGACGGGAGTTCTGCGCTATCAATAAAATTTGAACAAACTCACGTCCCACCATGTACCACCAAGGTCTGAGCACCAGGCCCGGCCCAACTCCTTTGATACGTCCCCCCCCCTCCTCGCCACATCCACTCCACTCCTCCTCGAAGTCGTCCATGGGAAGTGCTCCATCGTCCAGGTCCCGGTTCCCGAGCGGCAGCTCGAAGGGATCCTCGTCCGGTCGGAAGGGCCGCCGTGAGAAGCGTGCCTCAGAAGTTCAGTTCGGATCCGGGCGACGTCACCCGGGGGTGACATCTGGGTGGTGATGAGTTCATGATTCCAGCTCCAGTGCAGTGGGATCGTTTGACCCTGTAGCCAGCAGCCAGGTCGTTTTTCATCATCCAGGACGATGATACCATACCGATACCAAAAGCCTTCGATACAGCATTGCAGCGGCTCAATAAAGTCGGGGCACTCTCCTCTCGGGAATGGTGTCCCCCAACTCCCTCTCCAGGTCACTGTCACTGTCCTGAGGAGTTGCATGACCACGGCTGATCTGGGCTTGCTGAACCCTGTGTATGAATGCCACCTGCAAAGCAATCACCAATAAAATGGACGTCAAACGTTTGGGTGGTTTAGACTCTAGACTGCAATCATGCACACTGAACCTGCAAAAGTTCAGGCTAGAAAGTTGTGATCCAACTTCAGGCTGAAGATCGATGAGCTTTGGCTGCTTCGGCATCACTGTGCTCACTTCAATGGCAGCTTCTTCATCCTCCATGCGCAAGAATCACACACGCGCGCACACTCGCATCCGCAACCCCAAGGCACAACTTAGTTTGACCTTGTGATCTTTTCCTTGCTTGAAATTTAGTGACATTTAGTGGTGACCATTCGCAGGTGTTTCACCTATTTGTTTCCAATCCCTTCCTAACCCTGTGTGGTTTTAGATTCGCTGTGAACTGCAAATCATCTCGGCGCCGATCCGTTCAATCCATTGTCCCCAGGCCAAGCTGGGACCCCGGAATAGCGGGGTAAGATGCCAAATGGCTACACATGCACTCCGGCTACTGTAGCTACATCATGCTACATCATGTTTTCTGATATTTTCTGATCAAGCATCGGAAACAACTCCTTGACTTGACATGGATTCAACAACTCAGCAGAATCCTCGCAATCGTAATTCCCGAACCCCCCACCCACGTCGTGTTCTGCCTTGTCGGCGCCTGTGCCGCCCCCCGGTGCCGCCGTCATGAGGCCGACCGATTGACCCAGGCCCTCCATCCAAGGCTGCGACAGCACCTGGTGGCCATCGACTCCACGGTGCGACTGGTCTTTTCAGCTCGATTGGAGGAACGATGGTCTCGGTGGGGTTTTCAGCTCAAGGTCTCTACCACATCTCCGGTGTCAGATTCAACAGCGGAACCGCGTTGCTGCAACGACTACTCGGGGGTTCTTGGGCTGCACTGGCCCTAAGCATGGCCAATGTCAGAAGATGAAAACAGAACTATTCTGGATCCAGCAGTAACCCCCAAACCATGCCAAAACCCTGCCAAAAAAAACAACGCTACATCTCATCATACCTGTCTGAGACGGAATGTGGTGTGAAGCTATGTGTCAACCAACCTGTTTCCACCCGCGCAGACCGACCACGTCGGTCGGCTGCCGCCAATGCCGCCTGTCGTGGAGCCTCCTCGTCCAATACATCGGCGGAATCCTGGAGATCGCTGGACGGAATTCTTAGAAGCCTTGAGAATTCCACACCTGGTATATAGAATATCGCACTATCACACATATTTATGTATCGTTCTATCATGTTCTATCTATCTATCTACCTATCTACCTACCTGTCTATCTATTTATCTATCTATTTATCTATCTATCTCTATCTATCTATCTATCTATCTATCTATCTATCTATCTATCTATCTATCTCTATCTATCTATCTATCTATCAGTCTACAGTAATTCATTATGCTCCTATCTGATCCTATCTGTACTTCACAGCCCACCTAGGTTGGATCCTCCTGGCTCAACCACAAGGGTGCATCACGGACCTACCCCCTGGAGCCTATGGAGGTCCCATCTTGTCCCACTCGCATCTAGCTGCAATGTCCTCTTGACACACCAGTAGCACGACAGGACTTGGGCATCAACATGAACGGCGGCAGACTTGTTGAGCCAAAATGCATACTTTTTCAGTTGGAAAACATTTTGGCCCACCTCCAAATGGCTATATGATGTCCATGTCGAATCCCGGCCACTCTCTTTCCAAACGGCGACTCCATGGAACCTCCGTCCTCTTCGAGCTCCTCTTCCGGCGGGGCGGGAACAACCCCCGGCAGCCCGGCCACCGGCATTGGATACCTGAGGTCCGCCAAGGCCGTCCAAACAAGCGACAGACCTTCGTCGGTCTGTCTCGTCAATGACTCAAAGGGTGGAGCATGGGTGAACCCCTTCGATCGGGGATGAGGATGATGAAGTGACATTGCGAACTGGAGAAAAGCGTTACAACATGTTACAACTTCAAGAATTCACGCGCAATTTCCAATAGCATCGCGCCAGATCTCTTGCCCCATGATTTTCCATCTGCACATGACTGTCTGTCGAGCATATTCTTTCCGCTTCATTTCTTGCAAAGTGGGGAGAAGGCTTACCCCCCCTTGGACTAACATGAAATCAAAAACTGCCAGAGGGAATTGAACATCCAATAGACTGACTCATATATTTCCTCTATTCTACTATTATATATAATATTATCTGCTACTGTAATATCAAGGGTTCTCATTGTCTTTTGTGGAACCTCGGCACCCTCCCACAACGGAGCACCGCTTTCTGGCGAGGCCCAAACAAAAAGGTCTTTTTTCCAGCGAGGCCGCCCATCGCCATTTCAGACCAAGAAGCTCATTCTGCACCACTTTCAGGCGCTTGGGGCCGTAGATTCCTCGTTGCGGATCGGAGGGCAAGGGTATGTCTGCACGAGGGGGCTCTGTGATTCGGCAAGGCTTGAACCTCAAACTGAAGATCTGGGTGCATTCATCTAGTATAGACCCCAGAGGGACTATAATTTCTAAAATGTGCAGAATATTGCAGAAAATAATCTAACTGTCAATGAATTACAATTATTATTAATAAAAATATATTATAAAATCTTGTGATATCAGAATATATCGGATATGTGCTTCCATTTGTGGAATATGTAACATCTCACTATGTCCAAGAGCTTCGCTTCACATGCCTATCTGCGTTTGCACTGTATCTCTCCTCACTTTCTCTGACCTCTCACGATCGATCTCCCTGAAGCAACAAATCTCCGATCGATCTCCCACGGCGTCTCCGCACGGCGTCTCCGTACGTCAAAAGATCCCAGCGGCGGAGCGTCACTTTGGAACGCTCCATCGGTCGACCTTCAGCTGACGGAGTCAGCGCGCAGAAGGAGACCGCCACCCAACCGAAGCCTGGCGCGCGCGGTTGGGCGTTTGGACTGCGCCGGTGAAAACCCCAAAGCCAAGCTGCTGGTGGTGGCTTTGGGGGCAGTGCATGGCGGGGGTGCATGGCTGCGGTAAGAAGGAGAGATGAAAAGGGATGGTGAATGGTGATGGCATGTGATTATGTGATGAAATAAATGAGAGTGAGGTCTTTTATATGTGAAGTTGGTTGGGGTGGTCTACTCCAACAAAATCCAACCCGCCACAACGAGTCGCATATCAGCTTCTTCCAATTGGCGACCGTCTGTGTGGGCCTATATAGCCTGGGGCTGCCCATCTGTGCAAGACCAAATCGTTCAACCATGGGACGTTGAAGTTCGGGAGCTTGCACCCGTAATGAGACTGCTGCTCAGAGTAATTATATAGATCGAAATGCAGCCTCGCTACTGTGAACATGAACATGGTGCTCCTTGAGGTGGTAGCTTCAGTCTTCCTTCGCTCGAGCTGGAGTCACAAAAGAAGACCTCACAGTGGGTTAAGACATGGGAAGACCACTGTCTTCTAACAGGTGAAGGCTTCTTTTGCTATGACGCCAGCGTCAGCATGCGCCAGCTGCCCGCGCCTGTCAAAGAAAGGTCGCAGGCCACGTTCCCATCCAAGCTCAAAGCATCGGGGGTCTTCACATAGCCTGAGAGAAGAGCACTCAGAGGTTCCTGGAGTGGTTGTGGCTTTCTGGAGGGCTCCATAGCACACGATAAAGCCCAGGGGCTCCGACCTGTTGCCACTTGGTCTGCAAATGAACTCCTCTACTGTATCTATTTGAGCTTTGTGAGCATCCTCAGAATTGGCCACCAAACCTAATCCCAGCCAAACCGATCCACTGGCCTCATTTAGGCCCAATCAAAGGCCAAAAGGAGCATGTTCGCAGTCCGCTCAGTGATCGAAAGGAAGAAGTGCTCAGGTGGAGTCTCACCACTCTCACTCATCAATCCCTTCATCTCGAAGCCCCTCCCAGCCAGGCAGCCTAAAGATGCCTAAAGGCCACCCCCCCAGGCGCCCCCACAGATCTGCGACAACTCCATCTCCTCCGGTGGCGCCGGATAGCCGCGGCCGCCTTCGCCGGCGCCTGGCACGTTGGCCTCGCAGGTGATCGCCTCAGACCACAGCCGTGGTGGTGCGGTTAGGGCGCATTTGGACAAGGAGAAGTGGTGACGTTACACAAATCAAATATATGTCCAAACATGGTCGTCACGGCCATAGTTTCACCATGATTCACAAACACTCAGCATTCACATGAAAATGGACTATGGAGCCATGGCAATCGACGCTCCATTCAGCCAGTGGTTTTGGAGGAGTTTCGCCATGGTTTGGAGTTCGCAGTGGGATTGGACCACTTTCGGGTCACTTTCAGCTCCACCCAAGTGGCTAAGTTATGAACGCCCACAAAGGACAGCTTCAGCATAGCACTAATTGGAGGAAAGACCTGGCCACCGCACCGCAGCACTGGACGTGGCGAGATCCACCCGGGACCGGTGGATCATTGCCCAACATGCTCTATTTGTAAAAATCTGTCATATGGCAAGGCCAGGACAGCCTCTTCAAAAGGTCAAAGAACATATCAAATGGACAAGTTAAAAAGGGATCAAAAAATACCAAAAAGACATCAGAACTGGAAAGCCAATCAAAAAAGTATAAGGGTTAAAGTAGTTGGGGAAAAAAGGTCGACCTTGGGGCAGTTGACCTTTTTTTGACTTTCTGAAACCTTCTGAATTGACTTCTTTACCTTTGACTTTTTGGCACTGACTGCCAATGTTGCAATGTTGATTTTCCTTGACTTTCTTCTATCTGGAAACCATGCTCTTTAAAATGGAAAACGTTGATAGGTTCTTGCAGGAATTGCGGCAACGACTTCAGGTCAGGTGCAACATTGGCACGACGATGATATCACCAAGTGTCGAGCAATTTAGTTGGCCTGTCTTAAGCGTGCAGTAGGCCACGTGCGTGACAGAGCACTAAAATGTTTGTCCCTTTTGAATCCTGTCTGCTTTATGTAATTCACCACTCCCCAGTTCCGTCGACATCAACAAAGCTGCCGAATGACCGGACCGGAACTGCCGCGGCTTCGCGGTCAAACGCGTGCCTCCACAGCCACGACCGGCTTTTGGTTGGGGAAGCCCCACAAATACCGTACGGAGCGGCCCAACCAACGCCTTAGATGGACCAAACCGCCTGACGCCGTGACTCCGTGAAAGGCTTGAAAATGGCCACATCTGAGAGGTCGTTCTGAGAGGTTGCGTGTGTTTGTGTCTGGTGGGGGGGCCGATCTCTGTCACATTGGACCAAAGGCCCAAAAAATGCGACATCCGATAGACATATGAATTACTGTAGATCGTTAGAACATGTTGGAACATGTTGGAACCACTCCACGCGCTCTTCCGGGATGTTACAAGACCTGAGCCCCTTTTTCTCCCCGGGATGACCCCAGATCACCCACCCAAGGCAAGGCGGCTTCAAGGACTCCTCCGAGACGGGCTCGTCACTCGCCTGCTCGAATGCTAGAATCGCCCCCACCTGCCCACCTCACGTGGGGCGTGAGGGGATGGGCATCCGGGAGCCCCAGGGCATGAAAAACAGGGGCCAAAGGATGAAGTGAATGCAACACGATCCCAACACCAGAAATGACTTCACTTCGACGTGAGTTCTAAAATCTAACAAGACTCACCTGACCGGTGAGGAAAAAGATCAAAGTCCACCCGGTCCATCCATCCGGTTCCGGTCAAACGACCTGCCTCAAGCTCGGCCAGCACATCCTTGGCAGGCGTCACCGTATGCACCGCGAAGTGCCTCGGTGCAGCCCAAAGACGGGCCCAGTCAAGCGACTATCATGCACCAAAGACCCACGAAATCACGGCTGGTTTGGCACCTGGTGGGCTGCACATAGTTGTAGTCCTTGATGTCCAGCAGGTTTTGCATGCTGTTGGGCTGGTGAACACCTCAAAACTGGGACAGGCTCACTTGACATCGCTAAACACACAGCAAACAATGAAGTTCAGACTTCTGTCTGCTGCATCTCACACCCGCCCTTGAAGCGCCCACATAGTTCAGTCCGGAGAGGGCTGATGTTAAATGACAGCACTGCAAAGCCTTGAATACCATGCACATGATATTCAAACCTGACGACCCCCCGCACCCACCACACAAATCCCTAGAACTCCGCACCTCTCACACTTCCCCTTCTCTTCATGCCCCAGCACCCGTCGATCGTCAATCCAGGTAAACCCTGCAAAAAACGCGTAAAACCTCTCCCAACCGGAGGTTTGATTCATAAACTTGTCGTGCATAGTGTGTGGTGCAGTGACAAACGTCTTCGCCTGGAGTGTCAAAGAGCGAGGCGAAGACTGGACTGTTGGCGGAGCGGCGAAAGGCCCTCAGCTGGATGAGGCCTCGGGACCCGAGTGCGGAGAGGATGTGACGGGTACGACTCTACATGAACTCCCGAGCTCGGACAGGTTGAAGGAAACCAGTGGTTGAAGGAAACGCGCCATGGGCGGGTTCCTATCCATCCGACACGCGCCATGATACACTAGCCCAACAGATTTGACATCGAGACCACCCGCGAAGTCACCTTTCCTTCCGCCCACGGGGGGGGGGGGGGTAGGAGCAAGAAGGCACAAGGAGCAAAGGGCATCGCTACTAGTAACAAGAAGCTACTAGTAGCTCCTGGCCTTACTACTAGGAGCAAAAAAAGCTACACCTTCCTTCCGCCCACGGTGAGATGTCGCGGTCGGTCCCTCCTCGAGGCCCGCTGTCGGTCCGAGGGGCCCAAGGTCGTCCCGGGTGTCTTTGAGACCAAGGGCCGCTCGCCTGGACTCGACTCGACGTCGCCAAGAACATGACCGTCTTAGAATAGATGACGCAAGGGCCCCCCAGTTATATAGGTGGTTCTTAGAGACCCCCCATGTCAAAGACATCTTGAAGGTTGTGCCATCTACTCTGAGACGACTGCACATTGATCACCATCAGGGCCATCAGCCTCAATGGTGCTACCCTGAACGCTCAATGGTGCTACCCGGTAGCTACCCCATGTGGAGGATTCATCCACCGTTGCTGGCACCATGGAGAAAGGCCGACCGTTAAGCTACGCTACGGACCGACCGGTAGGACCGACCGTCCGGTGACGGTGTGAAAGCCGTGCATCGCACATGGATGCGAGGGAGTGGGTGAGCACTCCAAATGAAACCCTGGTTGTCCCTCAAGAAACCTCACAGCCGGTTTTTATCTCTCAATTGGATTCTTGAGCCCGATCAATCTATATAGTTTGATAATTAAATGCTTGTTCTTGGACCTTCTCTCAAGGGTAGTGAGCTGATCTCGAGCTGGATGCAAAACATGCAGCACATGGACGTGCTCGATCATGTGTTCCTGCATTTCTGCATGTTTCTGCTTCCTTCTCACCATCCCCTCTGCCAAAAACAAAGGAAGCACACGAACCGACTCACAAACCGACACAGGTCGGACCCAAAGACCAACAGTAAAACCGCCACACACGACGGTCGACACAGTTCAACACCACGACATGGAGCCGCCGAATTGGGGTTCCAACCTGCAGTCTAGCAGTCTAGCCACCACCTTCGCCAAGCCACACTTCTCCACCTGTCCCTGAGGGAACTTCACCTCCAACCGGTCCAAAAGTCGCCGGATGAAGGCGGACTTCCCGGCATTGGCCGCGCCCACCACGAAACTGAGAGGGGTCGTGCGGTCGGGGGTGTTGTGGGGGGGGGGGAAGGTGCGGAAGGGCCAACGGCTAACATGCCAAAAATGGGCACAGGAGCTAGAGAGGCGGGTTGGCCATGTTCTCGCGCATTGAAAAGCTTCATATCAAAGACTGGACCTCTCTCGTAACACCAGCCGTTCACACCCCAGAAGCTTCCACTGGAGATCTTAGATGTCCATCCCTTGGTTCTCAGCACCAGGTCTGAGAAGGCCACACATCCATGCCAGATCTGTGCTGGATAATAGCATTCACGGCATAGTTGATGCCCTTCCCGGTCTCGTTGCTGACCAATTGCACCTGGTGTTTGAGCAGCACCGGTGTTCTTTCGCACCCTGCCCGCCTCATCTAATACTTGAAATGGGTGTCAAACACATGGAGGAGTTACTCACTCGTTTGGTACAAAGAAAGCCCAGGAACCACTCGATTGTCAAAGCCTTCTTCACCCACCTGTCTGGATAATGCCCCCCCCGTTGGACCTCAAGGACACGCAACTTCTTCTTGCGCAACAGGTGCAGCAGCCAGCGATTGACCTCAGGAACCCGAAACTCACACCCGAAGTGTTTTTGGACCTGGCTTGGAGCTTGATGACAGGGCGAGCAAATCACAGAAGAATCACAATAGCACATGGAAGACCTCGCAGAACTGCATACGCTTCGCCATTCGCCGAGTGGCCAGTTCCATATTCGTCTTCGGTGGAAGCAAGTCCTGGACACTGGACGGGTGGAGTGGACACACCGGCGTCGGACTGTCGAAGAGCACAAACGCATCAAGAAAAGCGTCACCCCGACTGGTTTGAATTCATTTCTCTTCCACCATCCTCACTCGAAGGGCCCCCTCATCTATCCATCTATTCTATTCTTCCCTAAACTTCTAAAAGTCGGTGCTTCTTCAATCTTCTTCATCCCGTTCTTTGCCAACAAAGTCGAGGCCGAACCGAGGGATCCGACCAAGGTGCAATCTTGGTTCCAACAATGATCACGGGATTGCGGCCGACCACTTCTCGAATCCTGCCTTACGTCCGACGGCTTACGAACGGCTTCGTGTGACGGCTTCGTGCACGTGTGACTTGGGTCGTGTTACGGAGGAAAGCGGCGAGACACTCAAACATGACATCGGAGTGCAAAATGGCCCCTTGGATGACCATGTTGTTCTAATTGCAAGCAAACAGGTGGTTTTCCGATTTGATTATTTCGAGGAGTGTAGCGAGATAAAAATGGGTTGGTGTCGCACTGGGGACTTAGGATTTGCAGAAGCGCCGCAAATCTTTAGCAACTGGTCGTGTCCAGTCCAGTCCCCATCTAAAGAGGAACGTTTGATCTTGCATCCTGCCTGCGATTTGCCTGCCATGTGTTTGTTTGGGTGCTCTACAAGTACACCCTGGAAGACTAACATGGACCCTGAAAACCACTGGTTGGTAGAGGAAAACAATCTTCCAGGGGGGCATTGTCAGGGTCAATGTGAAGTGTTCCGGAGTGTAATCATCTGCGCGACTTCGGGAATAAGTCATCACCAGGTGCTCAGTGCTCAGGTTCGCCTGATCTCCGGCCTCTGCTTGTGATTGGACCCGCTTACACGACAATCAGGCCCGCTCTTCGATCCTTGTGCCATATGCCCACAGCCATGGCTATACATCAGAAGTCCAAACTGCTCTTGATCTTCCAACCAGCGAATGAACCCCTCTTCCTCTATTGTGAACATTTCACCGGTTTGGCCAGTTTGCTCCTCTCACACCAATTGGACGGACCAATTCACTGCTTGGGGTATCGAATTGATTGGACACGCGGAAAGAAACGGAGTAGAGGATATGAAAGCACATGGAAAAACAAAAGCAAAAGAACAAGAGGATCGAAACATATCGAAACTACCAAAATTTGTGGAAAAGAAAAAGGACCGGACGCCGCAGGGCAAAAGAGTCTCTTAGCGAATAGCAACAACATGCAGATTGGTCTGCAGCATCTGTCCTGCTTGTCTTGACTGGTTTCCGAGAAGGCATCCGGGTTGAAATAGGCTGGAGGGCATGCAGCCGCCACGAGGGTTTCCATCTTTTTCCTTCCCTCCTCTCCTTGTCTCCTTCCTTCACTCCCTCCTTCCTGTCTGCACAGGGCCCTGAAAGAAGAGCTCTCTTCTCCCGTCCATGCAATCGAAACGACCACCATCCAGCTCACCCGTCCCAGCCACGAATGAAGGACCCATTGAAGTCCAGTACATCCACCACATACCTCGGGAACAGGAGACGCCAGGCTCCTCGCCGAACCGATGGAAGGGGCCGAACTTCCTGAAACGAAGTTCCAGCAGTTGATGGACCAATTGCAAAACACCTGCATGTGGAACTGCTCCAGTGGGACCACACTGGAAAACTGGTGTATTTTTGACAGAGCCTATAGGTCTTAGACCGTGGCTCCCCCAGAAATCTGCACGTCCACATTCAGGTGCTTTTAGAATGTTTGAAGAAGGGAAGCGCTTCAAAAAGTGCGACTGCATTTGGAGGCCTGCAATTGTCGACTCAAAGATTGGATGATCTCCCCCAGCTCACCATCCAGGTGCCTCACAAAATGTGACAAGTAGGGACCCCGAACAATCATGTGCCTATGATACTATGGCCGTATGTGTATGTATATATGTTATGTATAAACTGTGGCCATATTATATCGCCCAAAGAAGGCCCCGGCTTTGCGCTGCGCCTGTGGCAACGATCCCTCCGAGCGGCACCACCAGGCATTGCCTGCGGCGGATCGTGGCCAGCTGCTGGGCCAAGACCTCTGCCGGGACCACCTGGAGCAGAAGCACCGGTGGCACCGGTGCAAGGCTTGGAAGGCCACGTTTGTCGTTTCCCCCGGCCCTACCTGGTGTGGGTTCTGAAGAGCCCCTTTTCAGAGATGAGGTTTGATCTTGACCTATCTTGACAATGAGTCAAGAACAGGGTGTTGTGCGGCGTTGTCTGATCCAAAGCCAAGTCAAGCACACCCATGTATAAAAGTCTTCCTTGGATGAACTCTTGCCATCGCTCATATCCAAGGCTTGACCCCTTCCCCAGTCTCTTCATGTCTCTTCCCTCGTTGCACGCACGTGTTTTTTGTCAGTCAAGACCCTTTGTGCAGCATGTATGTAAAAAGCGTGTTGAATATGTTGTTTCTACCAGGCAAACAGCTCCTCTCATTTTTGTGAATTCAGATTAGATGGTCTAGATTGTGTCAGAATTGTCCAAAGGACATATCATGGAAATTGATTAGATTTATGATTTATTCAAGAAAATGCGAACTAGACTCTCTCGGCTTTAAATCTTTCAACAAAATGTTTGGGGCAAACCTCGGCAACAAAGAATGAAGCTTCGAGCTTCGAGGAACAACACACAAATGGCCCTTAGGGCCCTAACGGGCCCGTTTCGAGGTGGGAGAACGACTTCGCAACTGCACAGGAGAAAAGCCATCCGTTTCCAGGGTGAAAAACTGAACTGAAGGATACTGAAGGCAATCGTACTGAAAACAGAAGTGAAAACAACAGACGTGAAGACACCTTCAAGAAGGACAAACGGAACGAGGAGAGTGACGTGACCAGCGAAAAGCGACCAAAGTCACGATCTTAAAATCGACCGTTTTCACTTCACCTGACCGCCAAAGCCCACTTCACCTTCTGCCATGGTCTCCTGACATCAAAAATGATGAGAAAACGGACACAACGCAACGGAAAAGAAATGTAACTGGATTTCTTGGTGAATGATGCCGGGTTTCTTGGTGATTGACATCACTTCAAAGCCTGAACTGAAAGGTAGGTCCAGTGGCCTTTATGAATGCTAAACTGAAAGATAGAAGTTTGCTGCGCACTAGTAGATCTAAGATGCTCCAAGAGCCGAAACCGAGGTGTCCAGGCCGAGTCATTTACTTAGCCATCTCTCTACGTCTCCCCTCGCCAAATGCCCAGCGAACTTGGCCGTGGAGATCGGACCGTGGGGGAGCGAACGTGGATCCGCTGTCCTTGACCACAGGGACCAAGTTTCCTTGCTCCAACTGCAAGCACCGCGAACAAAGCAGCTTACCTCGGGTCGGCCGTGGAGAACGGGCATCATGGGCATAGGACCCGTGCGCCCCGTTCGGTCGGTTTGTTGACAGATGTGATGTGAGGGTGAAAAACCTCTGAAGGATCCATAGGGCCACAGGATCCATTCTCCACTGGCCGTGGAGTTGGTGGCGTACCAAAACTGCCATGGAAAAAACATCCTGATACTGAACCAGGACCCTCCAAGGGGTGTCTAATTATAGCCCCTTAGCTGTTAAGGGGTGTCCATTCACCACCCCTTGAAGGCCCTGGTAGATGATTCACTGGACATTCCCGACTCCCATTGGACCAATGGATCTGGTGGATCCTAGGTCCTTGACCAACCGCCAAATGCACAGCTCGTTGCGGTGCAGCCGCTGCGACCACTTCTCCAGGTATCTCGCAAAGCGTACATAACCTCATCCACATGGCTTTCGATGCATGAAGTGGCACAAGTCTGTGAGCCTACGTTTGATGCTTGAGCCTAATTACTGGGTGGACCTCCCCCTGCAGCGGGATACACTATGAACAAGTTCTATCTCAAATCTGCCTAACATCTTCAACTTGGCATCTTCAACTAAGCGCAGATCCCACATTGTCTGGATCATGCGTCTGCAGTGGAATGCCGCAACCACGGCAGCACACCATATGCTCCACCTTCTTCCCAGTCTTCGCCATCGCCGCCTGAGATCGAGACTGGGCCGGAGGGTATCTGCCACCCTGTCTGCCACGGAGACTGGGCCGCAACCTCCCGCCTTGGAGTCGATTCTGTCCCATGGTCCGATGGCTCCGTCGCTCAAACGCAGCTTCACCGTTGAACCCGGTCGAGCTGGCGAGCTGCCGGGGGGGGACGTGTCCCGAAAGCGAGAAACAGGTTGGAATCTACATGGTATATCAATGGTATACTACCTTGAGTCTCCAAAGCCCTGCCTTTTCTGCGTCTGCGTTTTTGTTGTTGATCTAAGATTTTTGCATTTTTGCTCGAAAAGCACGTTTTCAGAGATGAGGACTCCAAAAAAGGTTACAGAGTGAATCTTTATCCGGACGCGTCCGGTGCGGATGCTTAAAGACGCCTTTTGGATGCAAAAAGACGCGCTTTGGACGCCTTTGGGGCGCCGAAAAAGAAAGGTCTCAGGACACTGTCTAAGGAGGATCTGACAGGGCACAAACAAAAAAGAAGCACTTCGCGAAATATGCAAAAAATGTGTTTTCTTTTATATAAACCCTCTTTTTCTTGGAAAGGAACAAATAAAAAGGTCATTGGAGACAAAAAAATGCCCACGCAAATATGCAAGACTCAACTTACCCGACCTGTCTTAGGAGTGTCCTTGCTCACCTTGTTCCTTCAAAACAATTTTGGGCGAATTCTTCCGGAACAAAGTACCTACATGGGCCTGGGAGATCATGGGAGCTAGCTCTCAGTGGCTGGCCGGCCCATGATCTTCAAGTATTTGTTCATGTTCTATGTCCGCTGCTTCTTCTCCAACCACCCAACTTCTCAGCCCAGTTGCGATTCCCTTCGTCAGCGGGTCATCTCGATGAGGGTCGTATCGCCCAGATGCCAACCTCACCCAGCCCCAATCTGGTTGAAGGTCACTCCAAATTCTTTTGGAGGCTAAGTCACCGCCTCGATCTTGTGACGAACTCGCGAGTGAAACGAGCGAACGAAGTGAGCCAGCCTGGGCTCCGGCACCTCCTCCTCCACCATGGCCTTGCGCTTCCCAGCACTTGCTTCATGTGCCACTTAGACATGTCCGTGGATGTGGGAAGGTTATGGATATATATATATATATACTAACTATTACTAACTCCTCCTCCGGTTGCTACTGCTATGGTGGCTATAGTGACCGCAAAAATGGTGAATAAAACTATATATATATACTGTATATAGCAACCGCATGCAACCGCTTTAGGACTGGAATCCTGGGTGACTCAAGCATTCCGTGGACCAAAAGGAGGTTTCCTTTTGCCTTTTGCTAAGCCTGTTTGACTTTTGGCGAGGAATTTTGTGAGCCCAATTCATTCATTGACCATGCCCAGTCTCATTGCAGCAACATGCCGCGAACAACTTGGTCTCGCTGTGGGTCTTTGAAGGGTCTTTTCACTGCGGGGTTCTCACAATATATTGACCCTCTCTACAGTATGCACTTGTTCTGCCTTCAATTAGGCAGAACAAAACCCAAGACAACCTAGGGGCATGTATAGAAACATGATGTTTCAAGGGAAGACAGGATGTTTCACGTAGTTCCAATGCATGGAAGGACCGAGACACTGGCGGGTCCGGTCCAGCACTTGTCCTCGCACCCGGTCCAGTCCTCGCCTCAAGCTCCTCTGGCGAGGGGCCTCCCTTGTAGCCCGCGAAGGGGACGCCTTTCCTCAGGTCTCACCAGGGGCGACTCTTTTCCAGTTCAAACCAAAATGCTGGGACGTTTCAACTTGTCAACTTGGTTTCCAATTTCAGACCCGCCCGCGTTACTCAGGCTACCCTGCACTACATGTGTATGGTGCAGAAGTTCTTTGGAGTGCGCTCGAGATTTGGTCAGCACAATCTCACTTGAGATTTGAGCTCTTTCGGTCTGAAGATGGGAATTGTGGGAGTATGGCTTGGGTCTATCCTATTACCTGTAACAGTGGATGATGATGGTTAGTAAAGGCCTTGTCCAAACATAGTGATAATTGTTTACTGGCTGTTCCAGGTAAGAACGGACAAACCCTAAGTATGGCAAGCCACGCAGCATACCAAAAAAAATACCTACTTGTCGTACAATATGCTTGCCTTCACTTCCAGAAAATTGATCCATGTTGTGTTCCGTTTATGAACAGGCACAAGACGGAAACGATCATCTTCTTCGTGGAATCCATGCAAACATAAAACAATGTTTAATGAATACAGGTAAACGGTTAAACCCATATCTTTGCGTGTCTTCAAGTGCCCAAACTCAAGTTATCCTGCCCTTCATGAGACCCAAAGAGCTCCCTGTACAACTGTACAACTGGTCCGAGCGGCGTGGTCGGCAGCCGCTTGGGCCCAGGCTTTAGCTCCAGCCTCCTTGGAGAAGAAGGAGGCATGCCAACAAAAATAGAACGGGAAAAACCACAACATGATATTGAATTTACACGTGTAAAGGATAGGACATGGATGGAAATGGCACCATGTTTTTCCTAGGGGCTCCAGCTGTTAGAACATCATCACCCCTTTGGAGCCCCACAGGGAAATGATGATTGGAAATCACATGAAATCACGGCCCTTCGGGTTCGCACTCCGTGTCAGTCGTGAAATGGTCGGTGAGTGACTAAACCGTCGGATGGTCGGTGAATCGACCGCCGGGTTGCCTTCACGTGCCCAGGGCAGGGCCGATCAAGTGCAGACCTAGACCCGGCTGTGGGCTTCAGCCCACCATTCTTCACCCACACCCGAGTCTGCACTCAAACACTTCATTTCCCAGGCACCGTTTCAAAGCTTCAAGCTCTTCATCTGCTTCTTCAATCACTCCTTGAGGCAGCTCCTCGTCCCTGGCCCTGGCCTGCACCCTGCAGCTTGGCCGGCGTGGCCGGCGTTGTTCATGCAGGCGAAGCTGGTAGAGCAGGGCCACAGTCAAGCAAGGAGACCAATGGGCCACTGGGATCCTCAGCAGGGCATCCAGCTGGCCAACTTTTGGGTTCTTGCATACCTGGTGCTATCAAATCACAGTCCCAAATGGTCTTTATGCCGATTTTGTGGGATGATGGCTGACAGGCGCCCAGGTTGTATCAAGCTGTTGGCTTTCTCGCTGGTCTAGGTCAACAGGTCAACACGCCAAATGGCAAGGGCTGCCACAGTAAATCAATATAATTTTCCACAATGGTATGGGCCCAACGTTCCATAGCCACACACAGCCACGTATGAAGCTGCAGGTTCCACATTGCCAGGTGCTTCAAGAAAGTAACAAGTTCCGTTACTTAGTATGCCAAACCTGCCGTACACGTGCTCCCTGAAAAGGAGCCAAAGCCAAAATGGTGCGCAAGGACACCCTTCTATCAGCCGCTGTTCATCTGAGATTATCTCCGCCAAAAATGACAGGAACCCCCCAAACTCTCATCGACTCGACTGTCCGGTTTTTCCATCCAAGTCCTCCCTTCTCGCAACCCTCACCCCACCGCCGATCCGTCCGATTCTCTCGCTCCTCACGTCTATGGCTCCAAAGCTCGGGGACCAGTAGCCTGGAGTTCTGGAGTTCTGTCAGCTGGAGTTGGAATGAGGACAGGCACAAGGAGAAGCCATGAAGGTTTCATCTAAGGCACTTCACTTCGCACCTGCACCTACTGATCTCCTGTCCTCCATCACTTCTGCTTACGCGACAATTCAGAGGTGTTGGAGCGCCTGTGTGGAAAAACACTTTGAAACCAAAGGAGAATCCTTGGAGCATCCTAGCCATGTCAGGTTGCCCACCAGCTTCTCCGCCCCAGCCTCGATGATCCTCACGTCGTCCCACGCGCACAGCCAACCCCGCAGGCCCCGCGGGCCCGGCGCGTTCACCAGGAACCACGGCTGCAACACCGCTGAGCGCCATGGTGTGGAGGCGCGGGAGGGCTATGAGCTCCATGCTTTGCAGGGTCATCTGACAGTCTGTGGCCTGTGGTCACGCCTTGGAATCAACGAGGTTTGGAGCCCATTTTGGCTCGCGCTGAGTTAGCATCTACAGTGGACCTCAATGCCCTCGATTTCCGTGCCCGATCAGCCAACCGCCAACGTCCACGCTGGATGTCGCATATTCTATCGAGATTTGCACCTTTCTGACCCATTTTATCCCATTTTAGTGGGCCAAGTCTTGCACATCGTTCCATCTTACATCTTCTGGAAGTATCGGTGCTCTGCTGGAGTCTTGATCCAAATACAGTCCGCAGTGGTCAGTTCCGATTCAAGAAGGATGGTGTCTGGATAACATCAAGCCGCGACATTCAAAACGCGCAATTCCTAAAGCATGCAATCTCCCTCCACAAAAGATTAACCTTTAAAAATAGCTGCACCAAATGGTAACGGTGTCTTGTTTCTGGAGTGAAGAGAAGGTCAACGTGCTGGTCTGTGATGTCCTGGCTCTTCCTGACCAAACCTCCTAAAGAAAGGCGTCCCAGCCACACCTCCCACTTGATTGATGATGTCAGCGCCCTTATTTGCAGGTAAGTTCGCTTTCAGGACCCGCTCAGGTGCGCAGTGAAGTGCACAAATAGCAAAAACATGCAAAAAGCTAGCTCATGGCCACTCATGGCCTCTGCAACTGGCGATTGGTGCTCCGAAGAAGCCTGCCTTGGCTTGGGGCATGCAATGCTTGGCTGCTTCTGGGGCCCACTTGGAACAAAGACACCTCAAACGACCGGATTGACTCTTCCTATTGAAGCGTGTAGGACCTGACACTCCCTAGCCCCTCCACCCCCCGGCGTTGGGCCCCTTCCTTCGTGGATATTCTAGACGCTCATATACGCTCATGGCTCAAGAAAGGTTATGGCGCAGAGATTCTGAACCGTCTGATTTGTAATCTTGGTTGCTACCGGTCGGATTGATAGACCTCCTTCGAATGTGGGAGGGCCTACTTTGGGGGTCTGTGAGCCAGCAAGAAGTTGTATTGCCATAGTGGGAACCGTCGTCAGTAGCATACAACGGTCATCAGTAGCAGGATACAGTAAGAAGTAAGAATTGAATTTGCCGGAGTTCTCCCGTCCAGGCCAAGCGTTTGATTCAAAAAGCATCGGCTGACTCTTGCATTCAGGGAGCTCTTTGGGTCACCCCATTCACGTCTATGTGAATGACCACCCACTGTTCGTGGTGAACGTCTATATATACATATATATATATGTTTCTGCTCTTGCCATCACAATTTTCAGCCAGGTCTGGCCAGGACTTTTTGCAGTGTGGAAGAAACACGGTTCACAAAGACGTCCAAACGTGCAAGCAGTCAAAGGGACCCTCACGATTTAGCACGTCAGGCAAGAGACACAACCAGGTCGACTTCAAGATCCCTGTGCATTGATCACAGGTGTTCAAAGCCACCAAATCTGGAGCACCTAATGAGCACGAGGGGGCTGCTTCTACACGGTCTTAGCAAGGCATCACCCTTCGCACCCTGCTACTCCGACAGCTCCGACTCGATCAGTGCGCCTCATGGCCTCCAGCACCGGTGTGGGGTCTGAGCGCGTGAACCGGGCCGCCTCCTGGTGCGGTTGTCCGCACGGCTCCGGACCGGGTGGAACCCGGTGGATGAATACTCCACAAATTGACATGGAACCCCAAAACCACTGGGTTGTAGAGGTCAGGGTCCATGTTAGTCTGCAGGGGGTAATTATACAATTATGCTTCAGAGATTGAACATCAAAAACACACCCATGAATGAAGAGGTGGAAGGCTTGGAAGACCTATAGGTCTCATCACAATATCTCTCTTTTCGAGCTCCTCTTCTGGCGCCGTTTCTTCAGAGACCTCGATGAAGGTATTCCTCACCTCAGCACTGGGGGATCTGCGCAAAAGTCGTCTGTGGCTGGGGAGGCGGGTGGAAGACTGCTCCAAAAGTCACATCTTCTCAGAGTTAAGTCACACTGTCGCTCAAGTGTGTTCGACAGTCCACATGAGCACGTGTGGATCCATTATCATCAGCACTGAACATTCTCCCAAATTCAGCCAGCAGATCGATGGATCAGGTCGTGGGTTTTACATGGTTTTTACTCAACTATTGGATCTGGTCTTGGATCAGGCCACGTGCTGATTGCCCTTGCGTTGGGAAGGCTCCGGTCTCCGCCCGGCTCCGGTCCTACCGGTCTGCGCGGTGCGATCTCCGCCCGGTGCCTTGACCTGATCGTTGACGGGAAGGGCCGGGCTCCTTGACTCAGTGACATCCAAAGATGGCTCAAGACTGACTCAAGACTCAAAAAATAAATATCTATACTGTATACACACATATTGTGTGTGATTAGATGTGTGTGTGTGTACTCAAGTGAGGGCAAGTGGAGATCTTGCGGATCTTTCATGATCTTTCCGAGGTGAAAACGTCCAACTCCCTCAGATCTCTTCGATCGTTCGAAACCCGAACGACAAGCGCTTCCCGGGCCGGTTGGATCCCCAGTCCTGGGCTTGGAACTCTCCTGGAGTCACGGGATCAAAAGGAGTGTCCCCTAGGACGTGAGACCACCACTTTCTGCCGTGGTGAGGCCCAAACGCCTCACCTAAAAGGAATTACTCAACAAAAAGGCGCAGCTGCCAGTGCGCTTTGGCACTAGAAATGGCCTAAATCTGACTCCTATGGCTCATGTGTCGTCCAAATGTCCCAGATCCAATGCCCTGGGCAGATCACCACTCACAGTCGACTGAGATGGGTCAAACTCTCCTGAGTCGAGAGAGGTGACCTCGGAGGATGGGCCGTCTAAACACCGATGGCGAGGGAGTGGGTCAGGCAGGTCAGGTGGGTCCCCCCCCCTGCCAATGCGAAGCGCTTTTTGGGCGCTCCTTGAGGATATGGGGGTCTCTCCATGGAAGCGAGCGCAATGTTTGACTTGTTTTATCTTGTTTTCCAAGTTCGCCACGTGCAACTGGGAGCTCCGGAAGTTCCCCGGGCTCAACACGCAAAGAATTGTGCACCTCGATTGTCCAGCTTCGAAGCAACGGCTTCCGAGGCCCCACGCGAATTCACTGGGCTGGTTTCACTGACTCCTGAGGCACTCGAGGCTTTCGAGGATGCCTGGCAGGTTGTTCTTGGGTGCCTTTGCGGCCAGTCAACGGCGACGGGCGCATTTGCGGCCGGTGGTCCCCGTCCAGGCTGGCCAATCAGCCGGTGACAAAGGAAGTGTGAAACGTATCCGACCTTTTGCAATTCCTTTGTCACGGGTCTTGAATCATTTTGGCGCGATGTGCACGACTACTATGCCATGGGTCGTGCTACAACAAAACGCATCAATACAGGATCAAACTCGACTTGCTCTTAGAAAACCTGAAGGCCGCCTTTGTGAAGGACAACACGCATGACATAGGAGTTGTAAGTGGCAGGAGGCACGATGAGATAGAGTAGTAAAAAAAACAGCAGGGCAAGCTTCCTGTATCATGTGAGTATGTTCGGCAAGTAAGCCAAGCTGCAAATGTGTTCTGTGCATATACCAATCACCCCCTAAGCAAAAGAGCACAAACAGTGTTAATCATCAGCTGGCGCCAATTCCTAAGTCATCAGCCTTGATTCAGCAATTCTGCAATGTGTGCTTTAGTTTGCCCTACACATGCTTTAGGAGTAGCAAACCAGAACTACTATGCCACTGGACCACACAACTCCCAAGCCACCGGTCCACAGTATATGTGTAACATATCATACACAAGTATGACAAGAATAATAGTAAGTATGTCTCTCTATAATATAGATATATATATATAAATATATTTATAGACTATATATATATATATACTGACTCTATGATTATGATTGGCTATGTATTGTGCGCTAACATAGGTATACATTAAGAAACTGGAACGATTTTGTGGAGACCAAGCCAATAATTATCACACTCGCCAGGCCCACATAATCTGGGACTTGCAAACACATACATTGGACAATGTTGGCATGAATCTTTGCTCTGGATGGACCTGTGCCCCTTGCATTCTCTGTAGTACCCATATATAACCACAATGATTCTGATCATTAATCAATGATCTGCACCTCCTTGAACACCATTATATACATTGTGAGCTGGCTTGGTGAGACCATGCTTCTGGGGAATCCACATAAGTGAACCAACACTGACAAGAGAGGTGCATCTGTCAAGTCGTGAATTGAACATTGAACACAATGAACTTGTTCTTAATTTGCTCTTGATTCATGAATCCCCCCAGATGAAGATGTGTTTCAATCCCAAGTGTTTCTTTTATTGATCAAGCATTCACGATTTGGTCAACAACAACCCCCACTTCTTTCAGCACTGCCTCTCTTCTCCGGCGTAAAGCATCACGGTTGGGGGAGGTCTCCTGAGACAAGGCACAACGCAACACGTCAAAATGCTAAAATTCATGGCACCGGTCGCCTCCCTTCTAGAATCTCTACCTTCTTTTGGCCCTGGCTAATTGATGACAGTTGGAGGGTCTACATATTTGTCATTTCGGTGCTGTGGATGCCCAACCCCCAACCCCTCTCACACTGTAAAGTCCTGCTTCTGGGAAGAACTTAAGTCTCAGCCGCAGCCCCCAAATCAGCTTCTCCAAGTACTATAGTACTCAATAGAACATTTGGGAAAGTGGATTGCCAACATTGGGAGCTGGCCTCTGTTCTTTTGCTCTGCGAGAAACATCGCACACCTGAAGCTAGGCAAGAACTCGTTCCGCACCGGTCCCCAAGTGCCTCTGCCAACTCGAAAGGTCTCGTTGGTCCCAAACTCCCAGGTTCCAAGCCCAAGGTATCTCCGACCGTCCGAACCTGAGACCCCGCTGAAAACCCCATCCCTGAAAACCCGATCTTTTGCGACCAAAGCCACCGTGCTAGCCGCCTCGACGATGAGACGCAGATCCAAGGTCAAAGCCTGCAGATTGAAGAGCGAAATTACCATCCCATCGAGTCTAGCTGTCTTACACATATTTATAAGCTTGGGTCCAAGAATTTCATGTTATCTTTTTTTGCGGGGCAGTTTCTCTAGCTCTTTGCATGGCAAAGAAAAGTTCCATGGATTCTCCTCTAGCAACCATCCATCTTGGGCTGTGGGTCGTGGATGATGTTCCATGATGTTCCATATATAGATGTGCCATCAGATGAAGGAGCTCCCTGGCCTCCTAAAGGTCAGGAAACCCCTCGAATCCAAAAAAAAAAGGTGGTCATGGCCCTCGGAGCTCTTCGAGAGTTTGAGCCCGGGTGCCCCTTCAGCGCCGGGGTCCCCCAGGGCCGCCGGCTGGAGTGGTGAGCTCCCTGCGCATGTCACCTTGGTCCCGTGCTGAAATCCCAACGGCAAGCTAGGCAATAGGTGAAACATGATAAAACGATGGATTCAAGGTGCTTGATTCAAGGGAGTCTTCAAACAGGCCACCTGGATCCCCTAGCCATCCGCCAACGGATCCCAAAAGCTCTGGTGAAAATGATGCCATCCCCGCAAGGATCTCCTAGGGCTGTTCAAGAGCAATGCAATCTTCCAAGAATGTTGTAAACATGAAGGGCGGCAACAGTGCTTCAAGCATTTTTCCAAGCATTCTGCACAAAAGCATCCACAAACGCCAATGGTCCAGTACCGGGGCACTAAGACTGCGATGTGCCCCCGACTCCGCTAAACGCGTGTGCCAAGTGACTAAAGGCCACGATTTCGTTCACAGCGACCTGAGCTGAGGATTTCCTGCGATAGGCTGTGGTCCCTGAAATCTCTCCTTGGAGAAGAGGGGTGTTACTGACACAGGGTATTCAAAGAGTAGGAAATGCATGGGAGGGCATGTAATTCATATCGTATCGATATTGCATAGTCGTCCTCTATTCTAGGAAGACATAGGGAGACGCATTCTGGAGCTGCACGAAGGATCTCACGATATACTCGTCACCGTGTGCCATGCCATGGGTAGAACACCCCGAGAAGCGCGTTCTCAACTCTACGGACATCCTACCATGACAGAGTCAGGTTGACGTCACCGATCTCTGTCTAACCCGGTCTTCTCAGCTCCACCGAGAAAACCGGTTTCTCCAGCCGACCACCTCGCCAGGTTCCTGGGCCCTCCGGCGACCTCATCACCGCGCTGCATGAGCTGATTCTTCACTTCCTGCGAAGAATCCGGGGCCGCCGTGTGGCCGGGCCGAAGGTCCGGGTCCACCGACTAGGGTCGAAGGAAAGCCCCAAAAAGCGGATGCTTTTTGATGTAAGAATCCTGAAATTGTGCCCAAACATGCCCAAAGTGCAACAAGATGTTCCCCGGCAAGATCCATCTGCTAGAATTCTGCTAGTTCCTTGGTTCCTGGCAACAACTTCCTGAGCATTCTCCCTGCATCGTCCACCCACAGCGATCCCCCTCAGCGACTTCTGCAAAGCACAGGCTTGGGCACCCTTTTCCGCTCAGGGCGTGGTAAAGAGAGCACCCAACCCGGCGCGCGAGGCTCGAGCGCCTGAGCTCAGTGTGACCCCTACGTGTGGCTCAGGGGCGAGAGACTTTGATGGATCGTTTAATGGAATACCTTTGGCTGGGGCACCTTCTCTATGATTCTTCCACCTGTTTGGCTTTGATTCTTCATGATTCTTCTACTTTGGCCGGCAAACGCCTCCCACCAGACTGAGATATGCTATTTGTATCGTGTTGCTGCCTCTGTCGTTACATGACCTAACCATGAATCTTTTTACAACCGTGGACTTGCGATATCAGCCTCAAACCCATTCAATGTTCAAGATTGCTCAGCAAAGTGCCTCTTCCTGGTGCACCCTCAATGATATTGACTGAGACATCATGGAGACATCCACACATCGATGTTCAGCTTTGCTATGCTTTGAAGAAGATCACAAAGGAACCCCTTCACTGGCGATTGGCGCCACACCGACCCCCCCGGCCTGCATCTGGAACCGGTTCCGGCACTCGCCTCGGCGGAGCCGAGCAACGGCGCAAGAAGAACCACTTGCCCCCCTCAAGAAAAGGTGACGGTGACAGTCGGCTTGGCCTTGAGGGCTTTCATGTTTTGGACTTCCAGCCGTCAAGCAAGATTTGCACCAGGAGCTGCTTGGCGACTGGTCCAGACTTGCATGCATCCACATATCAAGCAAACCCATCGAAAGGACATGGAATCTGATGCCTTTACAGACCCCATAGAAGTGCATCCAGCTACCCTAAGCCTTAGCCCTCCACGGCCCCGCCAGCCCCCAGCTCAATTCTTAGAACCCCTGCGGATTGCTGGTTGCTGTGGCGGTGCTGGTGGCCTGCCCCAGTGCGAATGGACTGCCACTGACTCTGGCTGCCTCTCAACGATCATCTGATCATCTGTGGCATCCATGACCAGGGTCCCTCGTTACCTTTCTAGCCAGAACAAGGGCCTTGGGCATCGTATATGGATGGCGCAAGCAAGCAAACAAACAAACAACCAAGCAAGCAAACAAACAAACAAGCAAGCAAACAAACAAACAAAGGTGGGCATGAATCCTAACATCTCAAGGGATCACTTTCGTCGTACCAGCAGATCTTTCAAGTTGAACAATGAAACACGGTGGGAGTGGGAATTGCGCCGCTCCTCCTCCGACACGAACCATTGCCCCGCTGTCGGGAACTCGAGAATTTCCACCAAGGAACTCAGAGGAAACATCTTCTCTCCACTGCTTTTGAGCTCCGAAAACACAACTCACACCGCGCCGGGCCCGGCTGGGCCCACCTCGACCGGAGGCTTGGCTGGGGGCTCCTCCTGCGAGGAAGCAGCAGAAGAACATGGAAGATCAGGGGAACTTTTTGACTGAAGGGATGCAACTAGAAGAAGTTGGCACCTCTGTTTGGGATCACTACAGTCACTACAGTTACGTCCCAGGAGCTGACAAAATCTTTGCTTTATCATCTATTTGGAGATTACCTTGTCAGCGTGTGCACAACAACAAAGAAATATTTTATAAGTGTCTGGAAACTTAGACATGCCACCGCACATGGTTGCTAACGCATCATGAGCATCTGGAAAGAAATGATGCGAATGTGCAGCATGTTTGATGCAGCCAATTCTCCTGAAACCTGATATAGAATGGCTTCATCACCTTCAAAAATGATTTATCTGCCGTGTTTTTGTGGCGAGCAACGACCGGGGGCCCCCCGCATCGAAACCCTTCGCGATCATCTTCTCGTGGTGCTCCAAGCCACACAAATCATCCTTCACCACTGGAGCTTTTGCTTGTGGTTGGGTTTAGGCAAACACCGAGCCCGAATTCTTGCCGAAACCGCCGGAACTTCCCGTGCGCCTCGTTCGAGGGCTCCTCTTCTTCTGGCGGCTCAAGGCCTGCACCTGCATGGCACAGCAAGGAGCAAATCTCGAATTCTTGTGTGCCAGGTGAGTCCCTCGAAGAATTTTGCCCCTCAAACATGTCAATTCCACCCATCTCCCAGTCGAGACAGCATCCACCTCCGTCTCGACGCACACCATGCCCGTGGCCGTGCGCACACGCTTGACCCATGCCGAGCGCCTACGCCCAGGTGGAGCCGCAAACGGCTGAAGGTCTCTCGCCAAGCGCGCTCCTTGTCGTTGTAGCGCCTTTCCATCTCCTAGGCGCAGCAGCCAAGTTCAACGGCCCCCAACAGCAGTCGGTCTCATTTGTGGTGCTTTGTCTGCAAGTTTGGAAGGTCGTTCTTCCGGATTCGAACCTGTTCCATTGTTTGTATGGTAGCACCCGGTCAGCCAAGTCAAGTCAGTGAGCTCACAACCTAGTCTGAAGCCCCGACCTCTCGCCCCGCTTTGGAGTCCAATGGCGGTACACATCCCCAGGTGCCTGCTTTATCCATCACCACCCAGTGCTTGACTTCCACTGATTTGGTAGTTTGTTCGTGGCATTCATCTGATCCCTATAGTGTGCGTGTTTGCCCTTCATCATGCATTTTCCTTGTGTATCCCACCGACCCCTTTACACAAGAAAACCCTGGGGTAAAACCCATCCTACGTTGGCAGCTGGAGAATGAAATCCCCAACAAAAATCCCTCCGGGTCTTTGTATACGACCCGCACCCTTCCCAACCATCCAACTCTTGCAACTGGGCGAGCTTCACAAAACTTCACACCCCAACAACAACAACAACAACGCCTAAGTCCATCTCTCCGATTCTCCGATTCTCTCCATTCCCTCTTTAATCGCTCCATCCCTCCCCGCCACCGCCCACTCCGCAGAATTCAACCGCCCCAGGCGTCTCGGATTCGCTCGTTGAAGTGCCGCCGCAAGGTGTCCAGGCGCTCGTCCGCGTCGTTGGAGCACTGGTGCATCACCTCCAGCTCACCTGAGTGAACGCTCGGGCACCTCACTGGACTGGTGGACTGGGAGAAGGGGAGAAGGGCTGGAAAGAGGTGGGAAGGAGGCAATACGCTGAGAGTGTTGTCTGAACAAGGCACGTCCTTTCATAGAATCACCAATCAGGGCATGGGTCTCTCCTGCATGATCCACACAACACGGCAACTAGGGTATCTGATCGTGTGTTCAGCCTGGCAGGTTCTGCCTGACGCGAAAGTTCCAAGTTCTGACGCCCAGGAACTCTTCAAGAAGGAGTTCTCGTTCTGCAAGGTTTCCAGTTTGGTCCTGTCAACAGCTGGCGCGCGTGGACATGGCTTTCCCGAGCGCTTGGGGAGCCTTGGATGATGAAGGCTTGACCGAGCTTCACTGAGCTGCTTATCACTCGCACGTGTCGTGAGAATGAAGTCGGCTTACAACACTAGTAGGTTGGAGGCCATCGCTATTAGGTTGGAGACCATCCCTAGTTGGTTGGAGGCCATCGCTAGTAGGTTGGATCGTCAACACTGGTCTCAGATGTCTGGTTGTCCTGGTTTCTTGCAGAAGCTTGGCCAAGCGCAAGGTCTGTTCCTGGCAGGCTTAGGTGAGAGTTCCCAGTCATCCTCTTTTGGGTGGGTAACATGGATCGCTTCGCTCCGCCTGGTATGCTTTCAGCTCACTGGAGAGGAAGGCCACTTCGCGCTCACTCGAGGCACACTTACCCTTCCTTGGAGCACAGAAGCTTGGACAAAATGTTGGTGCTCCAAAAGCCCGGCGTGAGGGGTTGCCTTGACTACCTCACAAATCGGCAGCCCAGTCCGGTCCCCTTCAAAGATGTACCCACTGCGGCTAGCCGCCCAGAACGGCAGCTTCCCCTCAAGCGTCTCCTATAAACAAATCCGACATAACCCGACCTGATTGTGAGATGTCCGTCCATCCATCCGTCCATCCATCCGCCTGTCCTCTCCCTCTCCCTCTCCCTCTCCCTCCACGCCACATTGCTCCAAGCTTCTCAGGACTCCCATCACCATCCCAGGGCAGGGTTCGCTCCTATGACCGATCGTACCGAGGGCATATACCAAGCCACAAGCGACAGACCCAAAAGACTCATATGTTGGCAGCCAAGAGAGTGACCCATTGAATTTTCTGAAACGAAATACGTGGTGCAATTTCCAGGACGAGCGACATTCGGAACATGCACACTGCACACACTTGTCAATTGTCTATGATTCCTGTGGTTGATGCACTATCCACATGAAATGTACCATCAAGCTGCTCGAAGTGTTAGAAAAATCACATATCCGCTTCTTCTCGATTTATATCTTTCTCCACCGATCTCCCCCGCTCTTCACCCATCAAAAACCAGATGTTCCGCTAGTCTTCCCCGGTCTCCACGTCCCACGTCAGCCATTCCAATCCATCCGATGTCGCCTCCTCGATGTCGGGCACGGAGAGTGCCTTGGCCTGAGCCTCAACCTCGGCTCCAAACCATTCGACTTAAAACTGGAAAAACATTCCAAAATTTGAAGCATCCTTGGCAAGCTCTTGGATCGTCATACAATTCCAGGATCCTATGAGAGCACGAGGGGCCTTCAAGTCGTAAAGCGATGCTTCTTCGTCGCTCGTGTTGGGAAGGCATTTGGGGCCAAAGACCCGCAAATCAGTGCGTCGACCGTTGGTTGGCGATTCCTTTGGAGTTCCAAGTTTGGAGAAGCTATTTTTTGATCATCCATTCATATGAACGAGCTCCAAAACCGGCACAAAAGTGGAACTCCATATGTTGCAGGGTATCCCTTGTGATCATTGATGCATATTTCAAAAAAAATATCATTTTCCCACGGCGCAAACTCCAACTCGGCCACAAGGGTCGAGCTGAGCTGCAAGGGTCGTTGGTTGATGCTGCTGGTGGTCTGAGGCTCTTTGTGCATGTTGTTTTGCTGCCAAATGGTTTGTTGGGCCAAATGGCCGGCCAAACATGCAAATCCAGTCCGAGTTCCACTCCCCAGGTGCGGTCATTTGATGTGCACACTGCCGTGGAAACCCAACAGTGCCGCAGGGCAGGGCACCTCCTTCTTGCTCTCGACGCTCCGTCGTGCTTCGTCTTCGATGCGCTTCTTTCCTGCACGGTTCGTTCGAAACTGTGGCGCAGCTTCTGTACAAAGGAAGGGGTGGGGCAGGTCTAAAACCCAGGATGTTCACTGGTTGTGTCTTGATCCGCAACTAGTTGGGCAAATTCACTCGGCAATCCTCCATGCACCTTCTGGGCGGTTGTTTTTCAAGCCTTACTGACTCTTATCATGTCATCTTCATGTTTTGCCTTGGAAATTGTTCAGCAAGGCCCTGGCAGGACAGCCCTTGGTACACCCCCGCCAGGCTCCGCGGCGCCGGAGCCTGCGATGCTGGAGGCACTCAGCGCTCCACGGCGGGTCAGGCGACGGTAGTCGGACAGGGCCACGTTGTGTGTCCTCGACGTGTCTGGCAACGGCTGAAGTCGGGGAGCGTCCAGAAGTTTGGGGAGGTCTTTGTCCATGTCATGTCGCATCCTTCAGTAGGCGCCGTGGCGGAGTTCAGCATGAGGGGAGGTGTATCAGTAGAAAAAATGAAGAAAACACTTTTACAAGATGATCAACCTAGGGCACCCGACACACCACAGGCCACGCTGATAATGGCCTTGCCAGCCAGCACCTGTGAAGGCCCCGAACTGAAACAATCAAACTCCAAATCAAACAGAGATTGTGGAGATCAGGGTGTTTTTTCCACGCGTTCCTCCACTTTCCTCCATTTTCCTTCAAAATGTATACTGTAATATACTGTATGCGTCTTGAAATGATTTGGGTGATGTTGGGTGCCGAAGTTTGTTCGGGCCACAGTGTGGAGCAGAGCACCTTGATGATGGTGGGCACATTGGGGTAGGCGCTTTGCTCCGTGTGGCCGAAGGTCCTCCAGAAGCAGCAGAAGCCGGAGTGAGTCATTCCAAACCAAAAACATCCGCAAGTCAGACTGCTGGACCAATCACGCAATTCCCATCACTTCCGATAACTGAATATAACTGATACCTCCGCTTCCCCTCTTCCCCTCCTGGAGTTTCCCCAAGCCCATACGTCACCCGACTCTGTGACCGCGCAGCAGTGGCTATGCCCACAGGAGATTTGTGCCACCGTCACGTGGCTCAGCGCGGCCACGGGACGTGGGATCATCTCCTCACCGAACCACCGAACGGCCGGAGACCCGGTGGCCGGAGCGGTCTGAGATCGAGACTGAATGGGGCTGAAAAGGAAGACACGGACCGGTCCGAGCCTTTTTGGAGAACCTGGCCTTTTCATCTCGGAGCTCCTAGAGAGTTCTTGAGTTCCACGTGCGGCCGGGGAAACAAAAACACAGTTGCCAAAGGCCACATATGGCCACATAATGTTCGAGGAGACCGATACCACCAACTGCACCGACTTAGTGATTCCTTTTGATCCTTTTGAGAGATGAAGCTGAAGTTCCTACTGAAGTTCCTCTATAGAACATGGTTCGTCAGACTGTTGTGCATGTTTGGCTCTGGATGGGGTAACCACTCAACACCCACCACGTCCACTCTGCACCGCTGCGCCAAGCATCATCCACCTCGGCACCCTGAGAAGCATGGCCCAAGCGGCCAGCCTGCAAGCCGCGTGGTTACATTTTCCTGTTGAAAACCATGCAGGGATTGCTTTGTAAAACCAGATGGAAGCCCAAACACCAGCCGCTATCACAGGAAATCAGGCTTCCAAGACCTATTGTCGGGTTCCATGTGGTTGTAGTTCCAGAGCCACATTGCTCCACCAACAAAGGGAGAACAAAAAGAGAAAAAAGCTTCAAAGCTGGTCCGGATGGCCCAGCTTACCCGCACCTGGCCCCAAGTGTAAACCTCGCCCTTCTGTGTGAGTGCTGCCGAATGATGCGGCCCCAAGGACACTTGGGTGACTCGTTGACCTGAGCGTTTTTTGCGACTGACAAGGCCAAAACGTTTGGAGACGCGCATGAAGGCCCTCCTCAATGTGAACGTGAACCAGCAAAGATGCCAAGAACATCTTGGAGAAAATTAAGCTCTGACCTTCCGCAACGATCCTCCAACACAGCCAAAATCGGCGTGGATGACACGCGTGGCACACCAGCCCACAGGCAATGACTCCCACTTTCTGCCTAAAATGCTGCCAGCCACCCTGCAAAGCCACGACCACTTTGGGCGTGCTTTGCGCTAATCGATTGCCATGGCCCAGTTTGCCGAAAGCACCTGCACACAGAGGCGAGAGGAATTTTGGTGAAATGCCCGAAGGCTTGGTCTGTGGTCTGTGGCCGCATGACCGCCATGCCTCAACAGCACTCAGTGCGAACGATTCGACTCTCCTGACCCCGCCGAAACCGCCAGAGGGAGAAACCAATTGCTGCAGCTCACTTCCCAGCCTCCACCCCAGGTCATCACCTGCCAGTGGTCCCCCACGGCAGCAGTATGGTGCCCACCGCAAGCGATGGTGCTGACCTGCGCAAGTGAACTGGGACATGGGGCAAGTCAGCAGTGGCGCTGGTCGTCTGATTCTCTCATCCCAAGCGGGACAAGCTTGTGGTGAAAACGGTGGGAATATTTGAGAATGCTCTGTAGTTCTGGATGATGCTCAGTTTGATCTGGACAGCGTGCTTAATTTAAGAAGAGGTCAGAGAGAACTCCCGCACAAAAAGCAGCACAAAAGCAGCACTCGCTCAAAAGCTTCGCTCGGTTCCTCTGACCAACGCGAGCTTCGGTTGATCTCTTTCACCCCGCGCCGTTGCTCCGCTCCGCCGCCTGCATGCCGGTGAGCGCCTCCACAAAGGCGGGCGTCTGCCTGTTACTCCGCGAAACCAACCCGTTGGAAGCGGCAAAGGAAGAGGGTTTTGGGAGACCAGCTCTTATCCAACACCTTTGTGTGAGACACGTGGTGTGAGAAAGATGGTTCTTGATTTTCTCTACAAGAACTTTCCAGGCACCGAGTGGTCCATATACTGTGGCGCGGGTGGTGAGGTTTACACCGCTGTGCCACGGAGTGCTGTCACAGACTGCAAGGACCGACTGTCTGCCAGGCGCCAGACAGTAGCCTCTTGAAGACGCTTGAACCCAGCGAGTGAAGAAATCCCCACTGCCAAACCCTTCCCAAAACAGTGATAATTGAAACTGCCCTCCAGCTGCTATTTATCCTGCAAGGCATGCAAAGTTACAATTGCAACTCTTCTACCAAAACCCTCTGCCTTCCAGGAGCCTCGATGGGGGGGCCGACTCCAACGCCAGCGTCGCCACTTTAGGTTCCCCGGCCGGTCTTGCTCATCGCCATGGCCCAAGCGGCCAGAGAGGCCCAAGCCCCAGCTGTAAACGTGCGGCGTGCTCTGCAGGATGCACGCCTAGGTTAGTCACCGTGCGATAAATTGGTTCTGCTTTCAGGCATTTTTCGTGTCTGATCCGCATTGGCGGCTTTTTGCCATAAAGATCCATAAAGCAAGACCCCACCCATCAGCTTGTACTGTTCTGCCTTGGGCCCTTCGCAACCAACTTTCCAGTACAACAAGCTTGGGGTTGACCATCCAACACGTTGGTCATCGTGGATCTATGCATCCAGTGCAACATCCGTGCCCACAACGGCTGGGCTCAAAACATACTCAACACTCCATGGCCGCAACAAGCCCCTGGATGAGCCACTTGGAGCAGCATCTGACCTAGGAAATCCTAGGAATCTGTGCGTGTGTGTGTGTGATCAATGGGGAATGAGAGATCCCAGCCTTTTCTGAATTTGAGGATCTGATCTCTCAAATCCCCAAGAGGTTCAACAGGTACAGCACTTAGGGTTCCTCACGATTCTTGAGAGTTTCTGTTGAGGAAGTCACACATCAAGAGGACAGGAACAATAGGGAAACCATGGGAAACCATCAAACCAGTCCTTGCCACCAGTCTTTGCCACCAGGCCGTGTGGAACTCGCCGCACGCCACCAAGCCCACCGCGTGGCCCGACATCGTCTGGCGGGGAGCACTCTCTGGAGTGGTAGCATGATGGGTGGCGACGCCCACTGCCCACTCCCGACTCCATATCCAATTCTGGATCATTCTCTCTGAGCCCATTGCTGCCAACCAGTTCGCCTCTCAGCGTTTTAGCCTTTTCGAGTGAAAATGCCGGGACAAAGGAGTTGCTTTTGCACTCCGGTCTCTCCGACCATCGTCCGGAGTCCGTTGCTTACGTTCACGTCAACGCGTCAACTTCGCCCAACCTCCACCGGTTTGGGCAAGAGCTCGTTCTCGTGCCCGCCATGGCCCAGGCGACCATTTTGGCCTCCCAAGCCACGCAGGTACTTTCCGGCGACCCCACCGACAAGCACCATTGGTTGGGGCGAGGAATCCAAAGGCTGGCCCCACACCAGAAAGAGTCGGAATATACAATATGTAATTTAAAAATATATTATTATTACAATACACACACATATCTATATATAGAGTTATTTTTTACATCAATGTGAAGGCTACCGTACCTCGTCCGAAGGCTGCTCGAAGGTTCAAAAGGTTACCTGTTTCCTCAAGGTCCTTCATGACAGGCAAGAAAAACAACAAGGCCGTGCTTTTTTCGCGCTTGGTCCGCGCCTCGGCCCCAGGTGTACAGAATCCCTACCTCCGAGACGGCGCCCACGTGGTGCTCGCCGCAGGACACGCTGCGCACCACCTCCGCGGGCTCCACGCGGAGGGTGCGAGATGCCGTGAGGTCTGGGGCTTCTGGAAGGGGGTGCTTCGTGCTCGAATCCAACCTAATAGTGATGGCCTCCACCCTCATAGAGATGGGTTGCTTAAGCTGTGTGGGAGAATCATCCAGAATTGATGCGGATCCATGTGAATCTATGGCAATCATTGTTCCATCCTGCATGGAACTCCGACCTTGGACTGCAAGGACCGCACCGCCCGCGGCATGTGCACATCCTAGGGCCGCGCAGCGCGGAGATTCTCCCCAAATTCTGCATGGATAGATGGCTGCGAAGCATCCGCTGCCTTCTCATCACCTCCCAACCTACCAATATTGGTGATTCTTGATCCTCTTGATGCACTAAGACTGGAAGCCACTGAGGAGAGATACTCCTGAAGCCCCAATGACCTACCACTCTGACCTACGGCCATATTTTCTCCATCTTTCAGACGTCCGAAGGCTTCTGAGTTCGGTGCTTGACTCCTTCAAACAGCAGAATTCGGTGCTTGACTCCCCCCCAGCCCATCCACCTCATTCCACCCTTCTTTCAGCAACTCCAGCACAGCCCGTCTCCCCAAGGCCTTGAGGTCTCCGTGTCCCAACTGTCCATCTTTTCCATGGCCCCAGGTGTAGAGCTCCCCCGATTCGGAGACCGCCGCCGAGAAGAAGCCACCGGAGGCCACCTACTGAGACGTCAAGAACCAACTTGGCATTTTGAGTAGGTGGAGGCCACCTCAGGCCACCTTCGGAGGCTCCATGAAAGGCCGCCTTTGGCCTTGGAGGCCTGATGAGGCCCTTTCAGAGCCCGCACACCTCCCCAACTCTGCTTGAGTCTCCCAGCAGCCCCCGGTGAAAGGCTGAAGTTGCAATACGGCGGTGAAATCAGGGTCCGATGGGTCCAAAGGACGCCGAGATGGGTCAAAGGACACCATCCCATAATATTTGGGGCACATCCTCAACAGGACAACAGGACTCTAAATGGGGCCAGATGTACATCTGAAACCAAAAAGATCATGTTGGCTCATCTCATGTGCAACATCCGGCCTTTTCACAAGACAGGAGCGTTATTATGGGTGATCCCCCTTGTCACGGCCCGCCTGCTTGACGGGCACGCTTCGGAGGCCCTCGACCAGTCGAGGGGCCACGGCCTTATCCTGCCGGCTTCGGGGTGGTGCGGTTCGGTGGTTCCAAGTCACAGTCAAAGTCAGCAAGTAATTACACACTCCAAGTCGCTTCGACATGAATGAAAACCCCTATCACTTCCAGAATTCTTCGAGGGAATCACCTATATCCTCATACATAATGATCTATCATGTACCGTGTATGTATATATATATATTGTAACTATACAAATATAACGCACCGTATATAAGCCCAGACCTGCCCTGACCCGCCTGACCCGGTCTCCGCCCCACCTCTGTGGGGAGACTGCCGATGCCCAGCTGCCCATGCTCCGAGGAGCCCCAGACCTCGGTGCGGTCCCCACCGAGCATAGCGTCCGAATCACCAAATCCTGTGTTTAGATTGGGTCCATGATATGATGGTCCAACTATTGGGTGGTTTTGCTCTTTTTGGGCCTCGGTGTTTCAATTCTCGAGCCGAATGTGCATACTGGGCTAATGATGTACAACAGTTCTGTCAAGCTTTTTTGTGTTATTTTTGGGGGTCTGAGGGAGGGGTTAGATGGCACAACCCATGCACAGTGTTGCTGCTGGAAGACGTCATGATTTGGTGGGATCATGTGGGATCACATTGGGTGCTCTCGTCTCTTTCAGCAAAAAGATCACCTTCTGGTTCGTAGTGATGGTCGTGCTTTGGGCTCTCTCCCTTCTTCTAATCATCCCTAACTCCAGTAGATCTAGTCCATCGTTCGTCCATGGGGGCGATTAGTTCCAAGGCACCACTGCGCCAGCAGTTGTGGATGACTGTCCCATGGCATCACGGCGGCGTGAGGAGGTGAGGCAAGTCCAGGAGTCACGTGCCGCTCGTCTCCACCAAGAGCAGGGACGTTCTTCTTCGAATGGAATGAGTGGAAACATAGTTTTACTGTTGGTGGCTTAGTAGATGAACAAATGAAGTCCCTTCAAGAATGTCTAGGAAGGCTTTTCCATCTATCTATTTGGGCAATGCGAGCGTCACTCTGCGCTGCTCATCTGCAATTCTCTCCAACTCACGTGAGACATCGTGCAGTCCAAGATGTCAGCCTCCTTCAAGAACAGTACTCGTGACAACGCCAAAAAAAAGCAACAATCCATGACCCGCATGACTCGGCTGCATCAGACCAGAAGCTGTTGTGGTATCCCAGCAAAATCGTAGATGATTTTGGTGGGGGTCCGCCGTGCTTCGCATCTGGCCCATGGTCCCGTGCACACTCACATCGTGTTCGTGTGTGTGTGTGTCTCAATGGAGATCATGGACTACATCTTGCAAGGCCAGTTTTGCTGCATCAGGCTCATGTCGTGCCTGAGCCTTCATGATGGTACCTTTCTCTGCTCTGCCGAGCCCAAAGCAGCGTTTGGAAAAGCATCCACTGGATCTCTCGGGTTGTGGATTGGCCCCACAAGCTGCGAACGAAAGTAGGCCGCACATTCGGCCGACTTTATCCTCCCACGGCACGGGGTGCCGAAAACTGATGTGAAAGAAGGCACACACCTGTTACAACGCGAATGAGCTACACATTGATATGGGTTTTAAGTTATTTATACGTCTTAAGATGTTTTAAGGTATTTGATGGTATTGGTCGTGCTCACTGGTTCACATGGTTTGTGCCAAATGACTTCTTCGGTCTTGCGGGGAAGCGGAAAGACTCGCTACTAGACTCGCGGTGCCTTCTGCTTGGCATTCCATAGGCCCGCGGGAGAGGTGGGATCGACCTCAGGAGCTGCGAAGCGGCACTCCGCCGCGCTCCCAAGCGCTCGGGGAGGGACATGTTCAGGTCTTTCCAAGGGCAAAAGGCACATGGCTAGAGACCTGAGGAAGTTTCCAGCACCCAAACACTCCATGCATGGCCAGGCCAGACGCATTGACCCCCGAAACCAATTATGTTGGCAAATATGGCAGTGCCATGGAGCGTCTGGGGAACGTGCCTTGCTTTCCACACACCATCCACAGAGTCCGCCTCTCGCCACCTGGGTTCCCCCAGCCCCTGCCAAGATGAGCCGCTTTCCTGCCAAGGCACCCACCTCGGAAAGGGGCCAAGCCAAGCTGGTTGCTTTTGATCCACCAGTATGGGGACATTGAGTGTTCAAACATCCGCAAGTACAGGTTGACCGTCATCACCAGTCTGCCGATTCAGATTCGGAGAAGTCGACGTCCATCTGACAGACTGATGTGCCTTGGCCTCCTCAGGAGCAGAATAAAACTGATAAAGGCTGTGGTCCTCCCCATCTCAGCCGTTGAAGGGTCTGCCCACCAAGAGTGGCCTCTGAGCAATTCTAAATTTGGGCATAGCCTACTACTTTTGGACTTTGACTGGGGAAATTATTGCATCAGCAATTCGATAGGCAGAATCCTGTGAGGCTCACCTCGTGAACCAAACGCCCCTCTTGACTGCTTGTGCTGTATTGGGCCAACTGGGCTCAAACCCCTCTTCAGAAAGTTTGCTTTTACAGTAAGTCATCTTATCTTGAGTAATTTCAACAGCAGCTTGTTGTTCGCAGCTTCCTCCCCAGAGGTTTTTGACCAAAGACTCACCTCACTCAGTTTTTCTGCCTTTTTCCGGCCCAGCAAGACTGTACAAAGCACTGGCCAAATGCAACCTCGCACTGTTGACTGGGTCTGGGGTCCTGCACCACATGTGCAGGAGAAAACCGTGTTCTCTCCAGGGTCAAGTCTTGCACCTGTTGCTTCGCTTGGGTAACTAACAACCAACTCTGTCATTGGCTGCAGCATCAACATGTTATATACATGTTGGATCTTTTCCTGGCACCACTGGCCAAGCGAAAGCAGCACTGCTTCTGGTAGCTGGCTGGAGCACCCAGCTCACACATTGGGTTGCTTCCCTGTATGTACCTCTGTAAATCGCAGAACACATCCAGTCACCAGCTATGAGGTCATTGGAACCTGGGGGTCATGGGGTAGCTGGGATATGCGGCATCAAGTGGCCAAGTCCTCTTTCAACATTCACCCTGACTTTAGGACTTCTAGTGAGAAGAATGGCACACATCAGTCGCACAGTGGACACACGGAGGCTAGAGTCTAGAGTGTGGCAGCTTGTTTGCCACTCTGAAGTCACTGTGTTTGGTGGTGGCAGCTTTCCACTCAGAGGTTTGTCCCATCCGCCGTCCGCAACATGCTGGAAAAAGGACTTGGTCACTGCCTGATGCCAAGACAAATCGCGAGAGTCTGGCGTCGGCAGTGTCGCTCACTCATCCACATCATCTGCCTGCCATGGAGCTGCCGCGAACACGAGCTGCACACAGAGCTGGAGTTCGTACATGAGAGACATTGACAGCCCCTCAAAACTGCAGGTAGAAAAAACAACGATTATCAGAGAATTCTCCAAAAAACATGTTTTAAAAAACTGATGTCTCCTCCTCTTTCATCCGGGGCTCACTCACCAAATCACCAACTTTCAACTAGTCACAAGCCTCTCCATTCCCAGGTCCCCACCCCCACGGTGCCTGCAACCTCTGGAACTTGGAGTCTCGGCCCTGCCGGCCTGTGAGGGGGAAGAATTGGTCAAGCGGCTGGAACTGACCACCCTCGATATCGGGGCAACGGATGCGTTCCGATGCTGTCACACTCGGACCGTGAGGGTCACATCCTGTTCGGAGGTTGCAAACATATGGTCTTTTGGGGGTGGCCTAATTGTCCACTTCCATGTCAGTGGGTCAAGTAGTGTACGTCATGTTGAACGACCTTCATCGAGAGTGGCCGACGTGGCACCTGGCCGAGCGCGCCGGCCTCGCCAGCGGCCCTTCTTGGACCAGCTCGCTTCCTCACGGTGCTCGATGGAGATCTTGAGCCTTCGGCCTCAAAGGTGAACTGCAGAAGGCGGCAGAACCAGTGAGGTATGGTGAGGAACTTCGGTCTTGTCATTCCGAAGCCATCACGACTGAAAATGAATGATGAGTGATGATGACTATGTGACTATATTTGTATGGTGACTCGTTACCTAGTCTTCATCCATCCATCCATCCATCCATCCATCTATGGATCTGTTTCTCTCTAAACCCTGACTGAAGCTCAGCCATCCCACAGGGACACTCCGGGCCCCCTATTGTTGAAACGACCTTGGGGGTTGGGTGTTCATATCCAGTCTCCACACTATCATAGACCAACGGCCACCTTGCCGAAGCAGCCAAGTTAATGGACAAGAAAACTATGAGCAAGGCACACACCGCAGCAATAAGGCATCGAATCAATTTGAAATCTCTGATTTGGAGCTTTTCAGGTGCCGTGTTCTGTCTTCTCGATGGATGCGTCCTTCAAATATGATAAATATGAAGAACCCCCATGGATGCTGCTTTGAGCCGCTTGGCCCCTTGGCCTTAACTCGTCACTCGCAGCGAAGCCTTCAGTCCACCGACTCTCCTAGTCCCGACCCCTCGCCTTCGGGAGTGCTCTTCCCACGGAGGGTTTTCGCCAACTCTTCACAGAAGGTCACACTCCTCCCATGGCGGACTGTCTCAGTGTCCAAGATACCCCGATACCCAGAGTCTACCCCGGTATCCAGTGGTTGATGAGAGGGCAGAGTTGCCTGCTGTATCGGAGGCTTGGCGGTTGATTTTCTTTCCCAAGCCGTGCGCTTCTCGATGGCTCACTGGAAGACTTTCTGGACGAACAAATTGAGAGGTCAGATATTTCCAGCACATCCACTAGTCCGACCCTTCTGTTCGGTTTGATGAACACAGCCCAGGAACCAAAATCTTCACATGAGCTCCAGGTGCGATTTCGACAACAAGTTCCCGAAGCCGTCAAAATATACTACACTATATATTATATACATACAGTATAACAAGTCTCAGAATAAGTTTCCATTTTCAGATTCTCACTCAGTGAGTGTCGACCTAATGGGAACTAACAGGAACTAAGTAACCTACTAGGTGACACGTGCTGTTCTGTGAGTGTGCGTGACTTGGCGCGTGTGTTACCATGTGTTCACATCCCCGCGCCCCAAAAGAGCAAAAGCAACGGCACCCCGGATGGGTTGCGTTCAGACTCGTGAGCCGAGCCACGCAAGCACGGTCCCACCCGTGCTCCTGTGCTTTCCATGCGTGCATCCCACCGCCACGGTCGTGGGTTGCTCCCGGCTGATGCGGGACATGGTCTGCTCGAGGATCTGGCTGGACGGATCGGCACTCGGTTGTGCAACCGACTCTTGAAGGCAGCGAAAACACGAAAAAGAAAACATAGGAACAAGAACGCTACTAGGGGCTCCTGACCTTACTACTAGGAGCAAGGGTGCTAATAGGGGGAAAAAGCTTGACTACCTACCCTGCGTCGTAGCTTCTAGCTACTAGTAGCAATGCCCTTGGTCCTAGTAGCTACTAGCCCCGAGCTAAGAACGGCCAATTCGGTGTACCAAACCCTTGTGACGAGATGGCCCTCATTGCAAGGAGCTGACCACCTTGCCTCGTGGAAAAGCTCCTCAGCCCCGTCGTTGGCCATGACCTCCTTGCGCAGGCGCGCATCAAGGCCTGCACAGCCACAGCCGCTGGAGCCGGATGCAGGTTGGATCAGTGGAGGCGTCATGGGGGGCTTCAGGGTGGACAAACGGCTACAGGAAATTAATTAGAGGAGGGACACTCTAGCAGAAAGCTAATTAAGGCTTAACGGTACATCTGGTCTAAGAATTTGTTGATGATTCTTCTTCAGCCTGCAGCTTATTATGAGTTTGCGCCTCTCTGACCTCTTGGACTTTTGTTGCAGGGTGCTTAGGTCTATCATATAGCCATTACGTCACCCCCGCCTGACAAATGCCGCAAAGGTCCTTTCTGAGGATTCTGGATGCATCGTGCATCGAAGACCAGATCTGCTGCTGGGATCCCTCCGCCCCTGCGTGCGGGCGTGTGGCTGCAGAGCCGCGGTGGGGGGATCCCGGGATCCCTCGATCAACAACCAACACTGGTGACGATCTAGCCAACCAAGTCACCTAGATAAGGGTCAGTCGTGTGGCATTGGCAGGCCAAGCCAAGGAATTGGATGGCTCTGTTGGTTCATCTGGTCAACAAATATCTGGTCCAGCTGCTGCCCCCTCAAAAAACACATCAAGAATGGTGTGCAACAAGGCTAGGCTAGGCCAAGAATCCCTCCACCACACAAGTATCCCTCCACCCGTCTTTCTTCAAGGCTCGGTTCTTCTGGCACCAAGGCTCGGCTCGTGTTGCTATTGTTCTCCGAGGGTGGCATACCTTCAGAGTCCTCCTCATGACTCTCCCTACGTTCTTCCCCGCAGGTCCCTATGCCGGTCCGGGCCTGCCATAACCGAAGGACACCAGCCTCACAGGAAGGGTCGTGGTCGTCTCTTCCATGGCCCACTCCGGGCTGGCATCCTCCAGCAGGCGGTCCTTCAACCACTGCACCCAGAAATGGAAAGGTCTTCTCACTTCAGCAAATCAATTGGAGGGAAGGCCATCTCTGTTGGCAAAAGGCGACATGCATCCACAAATCCTTCTGATCACCTCGAGTTTGATCCAATACCCAAAGATACCCAAAGATACCCAAAGTGATTTCATGTATAGATGCATAATTAGATACATAATATGTGCACTCACTCCCGAAACCATCACAGAAGGGGAAAACTATGTACACACAATTATACATAATTAAGGTACGGTACATGTATGTATTGGTTTCGAGTTGGGCACCCAGGCACCTCCACCACGCTCGTCACCGTCGCTTCCGCCACCGCGGGCGGCTCCGCCGGTAAGGGCCCCACGGGGACGGGTGCTGCGGGCGGTGCTGCGGACGGTGCTGCTCGGCGTCGACCCGAGAGGAGCACTTGAGAGAACTGCTCTTTCCTGGAGATTTACCCATCGCTGGCTGCACGGATTTATAAATAAAGTATCCTACATTTGTTTTATCACAGTTCTCCTTTTTTTGATTTGCTGGTTAATATATAGGTAAGTGCTACATATTGCTTAATTTTAATACAGTATAAAACTATTAAACAATATACCAGCATAGACCCCAAACAGTTTCAAAACGATTCGTTTAGACCAATATTAGTCAAACATCGATTTCTTGGTACGCCCTACTCTCACCCCAAGAGCAAACTGCTTCATCAATGGATTTTTGTCGGCATTGACATCGCTATTTGTTCGGCCACACTTCTCTCCAGTAAAGCCGGGCCACACAGACCAGCCACAGAGCTGACAGAGTTCAGGGGCGCGGCCAAGAGGGGGACAAGGCCCAGCCACACAGCCCAGCCACACATTTGGCAGAGTTCAGGGGCGCGGCCAAGAGGAGGACAAGAGGAGGACAAGGCCCTTTCTTTCTTTCTTTCTTTCTTTCTTTCTTTCTTTCTTTCTTTCTCTCTCAGAGTTGACAGAGTTGAGGACAAGGCCCAGCCACAGAGCCCAGCCACAGAGTTGACAGAGTTCAGGGGCGCGGCCAAGAGGAGGACAAGGCCCAGCCACAGAGCCCAGCCACAGAGTTGACAGAGTTCAGGGGCGCGGCCAAGAGAAGGACAAGAGGACCAGCCACAGAGCCCAGCCACAGAGTTGACAGAGTTGAGGGGCGTGGCCAAGAGGAGGACAAGAGGAGGACAAGGCCCAGCCACAGAGTCCAGCCACAGAGTTGACAGAGTTTAGGGGCGCGGCCAAGAGGAGGACAAGAGGAGGACAAGGCCCAGCCACAG